CCAAACTGCATTCCCACCAGCAGTGTAGGAGGGTTCCCCTTTCTCCACAGCCTCTCCAGCATTTGTCATTTGTGGATTTTTGAATGACGGCCATTCTGACTGGTGTGAGGTGATACCTCATTGTAGTTTTGATTTGCCTTCATTTTTGATAGCTATTTTTGCTGGATGTAGAATTCTGGGTTGGCAGTTTATTCTGTCAGCAATCTAAAGGTGTGTCCATTTTCTTCTGACTTGTGTAGTTTTGGGTGAGATGTCTTATCTCTTTTCTCTGATTGCAGTGTCTTTTTTATCTGGCTGCCTTTAAGATGTTCCTCTTTATCTCTGGTTTTCAGTAGTTTGTCTAGGTTTGTGGATGTTTGGTTTGTTTTGGTCTTTAGGTATCTGTCTTGATTAGGGTTCTCTGGGCTTGGATGTGTCCTTTGATGTCTTCTATTATGCCAATATTTTTCAAATATTTCCTCAGATCCATTCTCTCTCTCTCTTCTGGGATTCCAATTGTATATGTACTAGACTATTTAATATTGACCACTGCTCTTGTATGCTCTATCCTGTTTTGGGGTAGTATTTTTTTCTAGTTTTGTTGAGATATAATTGGCATATAACATTGTATGCTTTTAAGGTGTACAACACAATGATTTGATATATGTATTTATTTTCTTTTTTTAACTCTTTTTGTTTTATTTTAGATAATTTTGACTGACCTATCACTGATTTCTTTCTTTGGCTGTGTTGAGTATACTAAGGCTGTCAGAGACATTCCTCATCTGTTATTACTGTGTTTATTTATTTTAGCATTAGCATTTGACACTTTCGAGTTTCCATCTCTGCAGAAATTCACCATCATTTGTGCAAATACCTTTTCTACTAGAGCCTTTAATACAGTAATCATATTCATCTTAAATTTTTTCTATAATTTTAACAGCTGGATCACCTCAGAGTCTGGTTTGATTGCTTTGTCTTGTCACAGTGGGTTGGTTGTTTTGCATGTGTGGATTGCTGTTCATCATGTATAACAGTAGAGACTGCCTGGAAATGGCACATCTTTTCTGCTAAGTTGTTACTATGGAGTTAAGTCAGTCTCGTAAAGTGAACTGTCTTTGGTTTTTGTCCTTGCTGTGGGAACCTTCAATGCATCACTGACTTCAAGTTCCTCTCCTATTACTTTGTGCTTAGGGTGGGTGCTAGGTTTTCCCAGTGTTTTTCTTAATGTTTCTTTTCCACACTTAGTTTTCTGCCTTCCCTTTGCAGTTGCATAAAATAGTGGGTTTTTCTCCAAGCTCCAGCTCCTCCCTTAGCACTAGACTGCTGTTGCTTGTTACTCCATACTTACTAGCCTGGTGGTGGGGACCTGGGAGGTGAGTATTCTTTGTTTTCTTGGTCCAGCCTCCACCTTAGGTAGGCTATGTGTCTCTGGGTCCCCTGGGTGGGACTTTCTCAGGGATCCTGTCTTGCCCACAGCTGAAGGAGACTAATAGTCTGACCTCAGAATGGTTTCCTTACCCTCCCACCAAAGTAGGGAGATTTGTCTTTTCCCTTTCTCTAGCCACAGTGAGTCTTCACCTGTGCTCTGGAGACACAAGGTTTGTTGCTTTTCCCCTAGCAGCTTAAAGGCTTTTTTTCTGTAGGGGAGAAGGGTCTGAGCAGGGCCCTGTTCTTTTCTCAGCAGTGGCAGCTGCTCCCCTCCCCCACACCTGGACCAATGGGAATAAGTCTGTGGAGAAGAGCCTGCAAGTGGATGTGAACTCCCCTTTAGGTCTGATGCTTCCAGGGACTCTGTACTCTCATGCTAGTCCACATTTGGCCTTTAGCAATTCATTTTAAACATTGGCTGAATTCTTAACCATGTGTGTGATGCCCAGTGCTGTCTTCTACTTTGCTACAGATGAGCCAGTGCTCATGTCCCATATCTTCTTGGAAGTGCCTGTCTTTCCTTAGATTTCATTCATGCTACTTGGTTGCCCTATAACCTCAGCTCTCTGATGGGTTCAAGGAAAGTTATGATTTTGTAATTCATCTAACTTTTTGTCATTGTTCTAGTGGGAGGGTTGCTCATTCCAACTTTCTACATCCTAATCGGAAGTCAAGTTACAGTGTTGTAAAATCACTTGAAATGGTTGCTGTCTGTGCTTGTATGTTTAATTCAATATACAGTAGGTTCATTTGTTTCATTCTTCTTTCAGTTTTAAGGGCTACTTTTAAATTTTGATTTTGTTTAATAATTACATGAAGTACTTATATGATTTCAAGTCATATATGCAGAACAGTGTGTATTCAAAGAAACCTAACTTCTCTCCTTGTTTCCCCCACCTTATTCTCTTCTTTTCTGAATAGGAAGCCTCTTAAAAAATCATGACTTATTTCTTACATGACATGTGACTTAAGTCACATGAAATATTTTGTACATTTAAGAGAGCATTCAGATGTGTATATTTATATCCCTTCAGTTCTTAGATAAATGGTGGCATGTATACAAACTTTTTTCCACATTCTTTGTTTTATTTAACTCTCCATAATAGTTCTTTAAAAATAACCCCAATCCTTACTACAGCTGCATAGTAGTCCATTAGGTGGACGTACCATACTTTATTAAAGTAGGTCTCTATTGATGGGTAATGAGCTATTCTTAGGTTTTTTTGCTTTTACAAGTAGTGTTGTAATGAGGAGCCTTGTGTGTATTTTGTATTTTTTGTGTTTTTACCACTGTATCTTTAGACTCCTAAAAGTGGCGAGTGATGTGATCCATATGTAAATTTGCTAGGTATCGCCAGATTCATCTTCCGTAGAACGTAATACCATTTTCCCCTACCACCAGCAGTGTGTGAGTGTTCTTTCCCCTCAGCTTCACTTGCAGAATATGTTGTCAGACTTGGATTTTTTGCCAGTCTAACAGGAAAAATTTTATTTTGAGTAGTTTTAATTTGCATTTCCCTTATGAAGAGTGTGATTGAGTTGCTTTTCATAAGCTCTTTGAATAGCCTTATTCTTCCTAAAATTTTAGTACACTGTCTTTTATTTCATTTACCTGTAACTGTTGCCCACTAAATATTGTGCCCGTTGGGCCAAAAACCATATGAGAAGGGATTGCTTCTGTTTTCTTAGAAGCTTGAGGATTCCAGAGCTTCAGTCTCAATAATCAAATTTGGCATATGAACATAGGAGTTTAAAAGTTTGCAGTCTTGCAGTTCACTTTGGAAATGCTATTTAATCTGTGGTTGCCAATAACCTGGTAAAAAGAGTATAAATAAGGATGTTATTTTGCTTTTTCCCTGTTCTTCCCAGTTTCCCTTTGGACTTCACACAATGCTCCTTTTTAGCCAGCAGAGGCCACTAGAGCAGAAGTGCAACAAAATTATGGCTGTGTGAAGATGTGATTGCTGAAAGGTCACTTTTTATTAGCTCTGCAATCTTGCTAGCTCGTGTCCTGTGAAGATTTCATGCTTGAAAGAAACCAAATATTTGAAAGCAAGAAAGTATCTATGCCATTTACTTTGTAATTTTTTTCCATCATATGCCTTCTCCTTTAAATTAAGTAAGGATTTGAGAATTTTAGTTTAACTGCATTGTTCAATGTCTGGTGACCTAACACCTTACTTTAAAAACTGTATAAAACTCTACAAAAAGACATAATCCCTACTCTCTAGGAAATGATGATGTCTTTGGGGAATCCTACAGTTTATTACAGGCTTTAATTTTTTTTTGTCCTAACTCTTCTCAGTTTGCAGGCCTTTCAGATATATCTATTTCACAAGACATCCCCGTGGAAGGAGAAATCACTATTCCTATGAGATCTCGAGTTCGGGAATTTGACAGCTCCACATTAAATGAATCTGTTCAGAATACCATTGTAAGTTAGATGAGTTGAGAGAACTTCTGTTCAGTGTCATGGGACTAAATAATTAATAGTGCTTTGTAATGTTTTTGTCTGGTTCACTGATTTTCGATGTATTTTATTTGTTGAAATTTAAGATTCTTCCCTAGAGAATTATTTGACACAGGCTTTTTTGAAAGCAGTTTGACTGTACTGGGTATTAAGAAACTTAAAATGTCCAAATCTTTTTATAAGGTGATAATTCTGCTTTTCCAGATATAAAGTGAAGAAAAAAATTTTTTTAAATACACAAATATTTTAAAAAATACGAAAAATATTTATATAAAGATGTTTGTTACAGCATTCTTTATAATGGGGAAAAGTTGAACCACAGGATAGTAATCAGCTAAGTAACATATCTATGTGGTGGAATGGTAAACATCCATTAAAAATCATGTTTACAGAGAACTATTAACGACATGAAGATATTTCTAGGTTAAAAAATTGGGACAGAATTACCTCAAGTATGTTTTGAGAGGTTATATTTGTATTACCGTACCCTTCCTCAAATGTCTTGATTTTTAAAATCTGGCTTCTAGGATTCATTTACCAGCTGAAGTGGGAATGTTTAAAATTAACTTATTTTATGTATTGTGAAGAATGTGGTAGCTCAGAAGCAGGCTAATTGGCCCTGTGGACCTCATCATGTATGAACTGAAAGGCAGGTGCTGTGTTCTGCAAAGCGAATTTTACTAATGCTGATATTTTTTTTCATTAAGTAACATATTAGGAGGGCTATCTTTCTCTTTTGCAAAGTTTTAAAAATCAAAACAAAACTGATGGGATGTGTTAAAGAGTTAGATGTTGGCTTAAGGCGTTAATAGGAAAAGTTAATAGAAAAAGGAGTTAATAGAAAAACCCTGCCTCTCTGGTTTGTTTGTATAGTGAAGGAATTAAACTGGAATTATAGTTCTGCAATTCAATGAAGGGCTCCCAAGAGATTGAAATAAAAGAAATTTTAGCAAGTTAAGTGAGGGGCTGCTTGGCAACCTTGGTCATCACAATACAACAAGTTGTTTATGTCTTTCAGATGCGTGATCTAAAAGCTGTTGGGAAAAAATTCATGCATGTTTTGTACCCAAGGAAAAGTAATACTCTTTTGAGAGATTGTAAGTATATGAGATTTTTGAGGATTTTCTGCTTCTAACCATACCTTATCATAAGTACTTTATAAAGCAAAGGCTCTGTGGTAGTAAAACTGATACCATTTTGTAGGGTGAAGAATATATAAATGAGATTTTTGAAAAAAGTTAAGAATTTAGAATGGAATTTCAGAGATTGGAAGAGTTTGCTTGAATATTCTCAAGAATTTGTCCTCATCAGTAAATATAGACTGTGTATTCTCACCTGCTATAATAGACACTGCAAAAAATACTTCTAGAAGGGGCAAACACATAGGGACTTTGTTCAGGCTAACAATCTCCAAGGGAAAGGCAACATGTTTAAATGCTAAATTAGAATAATAGCTAATACCCATTAAAGATTAACAAATTAATAGCACTTTATTTATTTTGTTTACATTTTTTATTGAGTTATAGTCATTTTACAATGTTCTTTCAAATTCTAGTGAAGAGCACAATTTTTCAGTTATACATGAACATACATATATTCATTAATAGTACTTTATTAACGTTTCTATTATCAGAACTGTCATTTAGCCTGTTGACTGCTTTAAGAAGTTTATCAAAACAATGTAGTAAATTACGCTCTTATTTAGAATTTATTCTTAAAACTATTGGACCTTTTCTTTTCAAGCATTCTTGGTTTTCTTAGTACCCTTCATCAGAAAAATTGAATCAGTTATTTGAGACTAGTAACAATGATGTACGTGAATGTACCTTCTATTTTGGAAGCATTTCAGCTGTAATATAGGGATGGCATCGCTACATTAAACGTGCCATTGCTGTGTGGAGACTGGATGCGGCATCAGAATCTTTTTCATCATAGTACACTGTGGGTTGGAGCTGACACGTGATTTGCTACGACTGGTATATAGTGGAAAGAGCATGGACAGATCTAGATTTGACTAGTGGTCCCATCACTCGCTGTGTGATCTTGGATAAGGTAGTTAACTTTTCTGAGGTTCAGGTTTCTTCCTTTGGTTAAAAGTAGAAATAATAACTATACCTGGTGAGGATTAGAAATAATAATGCATATGAACCACCTCACATAGCATTTGCCATTTAGAAGGCTGTCCATAAATAATAGCTATTATTGTGGTGCCTTCCCTTCACACACACATTATCTTTTTTAATCCTTACAACAACATTGTGAAGTAGGAGTTATTGTTCCTGTTTTACAGATGAAGAAAATTAGCCTCAGTCTCAGAGGAGCTGACTGTCTTGTCAGTATCACACAGGCAGGATTAGAACCTAAATTTTCAAGTTCAGTGCCCTTCCCACTCTACCACTGTTATCCTAGATGTGAAGATATACTTCTAGCCGCTGCCGTGGCTCAGTTCACAGTAGGGTTACTTCAGTCACAATGCAGAACCAGTGCGCTAGTTTGGTGATTAATAATGAATATAGATATATCACGTTAAGGTCCACTCCCAAATCTCATGGGGATAGATAGGCTTTTACAAAGGACGAGCAAGTCATGGCCAAAATTTGTCCTGCTGCCTTGCCCTGTTATCATAGAACTTGGCAAAGTGGCAAGGAAAAAATTCATGACTTAAAAATAATTTTAAAAAAAAACACAGTGAGATACTACTTCAGATCCATTAGGATGGCTGTTATCAAAGAAACGGAAAATAACAAGTCTTGCTGAGGATGTGGAGAAATGGGAACCCTTATGCATTGCTGGAGGGAATGTAAAATGGTGCAGCCACTGTGGAAAACAGCATAGTAGTTCCTCAAAAACTTAAATATTGAATTACCATATGACTCAGCACTTCCACTTCTGGGTATTTACCCAAAAGAATTGAAAGCAGGGACTCAAACAGATACTGGTACATGCATGTTCTTAGCAGCAGGTGGAAACAACAGACTCAAATGTCCATCAGGGTCAACAATACATGATGTGTACAGCACAGTATATACCATATATGAATGGGATATTACTCATCCTTAAAAAGGAGTGAAGTTCTGACACATGCTACAACATGGATGAACCTTGAAGACATACTAAGTAAAATAAGCCAGACATAAAAGGACATATGATTCTACTTACGCTAAGTACCTAGAATAGTCAGATTGATAGAGACAAAAAGTAAAATGATGGTTGTCAGGGGCTGAGGGGGTTAAAGGGTTGGAGTTTCAGTTTGGGAAGATGAAAATGTTCTGGAGATGGATGGTGTGATTCTTGTACACTTAAAAGTGTAGTGCCTGTACAGTTAAAAGTAACTAAAAGGGCAAATTTTGTGTTATATGTATTTTACAAGAATAAGAATAGTTTAAAATACTGTTACGGATTTTTTACAAATTAAAAACAATCTTCAGTGCATTAAAAAAGCTAGTTTATTACTGTCAGTTGTACTTGAATTCAGATTTTCAGTTGGTAAATTAAAAAATTTAACAAGAACAACAATAGTTTTATTACGGTATTAGGATTATCATTTTTTTTACGTCTTTTACAAACTTTCCACAGTGGTGTCAAAATTACTTAAGAAAACAATGTTAAGTATGTACATATGCATACTTCTTTCAGGTAAAGTTATGTACATGTGAGGTTAAAGTTAGAAGTGGTATATGTACCTTTTTCCATATTATTTGAGGAAAGTAATTGCGCTTTAAGCTGTATGTTACTGAACTGCTGGTGTGTTAAACACCCAACAGCTATTGATTGAGAACCACCATGTTTAGACCTGATGTTGGCAGAGCCTTTTTAGTTTTCAGAAAGCTTTCATGTTATTTCATTTAACCCTTTGAAGTTACCAATATTGGACTGTTTTTTCACTTGTAAGAACAGCAATTCTGTACTAGTTCAATGTAGTGATCAGAAAAGAGAAGCAGTGTTGCAGAGTGGAAAGGACTTTGTAGCAGGAATCAGAAGACCTAGGTTTTGGTCCCACTCCCACACCTAACTGCTTGTGTAAACCTGGGCCAGTCACTTCCTTCTCAGCTTCATTTTTCATATTTGTGAGGTAAGCCTGACTATACTTGCCTTGTCTAATGTCTCAGATTGGTGAGGTAACTTGGCTTTAGGCTTCTTTCTCATGGTGCGGGGTGGGGCACTTAAGTCTTTTGACTCCTTGCCCATTGGTCTTTAACTGTAGTATGCTGAAATGTGGCTCAGCAGGTGGCGAGAGGGGTGATTGGTGGGATATGAAGTGAAACAAGACTTGAAGGATATATGAAGAAGGGTATTCGGAATTGGGGAGTAGTGAGGGCAAGTAGAGGGATAGGAGAGGTGGGAAGGGTTGGGCAGAGAGAACCTTGATATCGGAATTCCAAGAGTGGGAGACGTACATATTGGAATAAAAATAGGAAATACTACATGGTTGTGTCTTAACAATCTTCTGTCTTTTCTTGCCTTGTAGGGGATTTATGGGGCCCTTTGATCCTTTGTGTGACACTTGCATTGTAAGTACTTATATTTCCTCTCTTTGTCATTTGAGTTAGGTTAAATATTTTTAGTGGAGTTTCAAAAGTAAAGGGGATTTTGGCTGAATATTTTATTTAGGACTTCTATGACATTATACTCCTTATGTGTTTAAATCTAAAATGTCAAATAGCTTTCTGGATCAATTCAAAGAGTGATGGAATTAAAGATGTGAAAATTATACCCACCTTCATTTATCAATGACTTCTTAGCCTGTTTTAGGCATTTCTATTCAACATGTAGTCTCATGTACTTTCTCATCATGAAACTAAGTTAATTAAACATCAATAGGTTTAAGCATCGATTATTTGCAAACATATTTCTTTTAAAATTTTACGAAGAATATAAAGGAGAATACAATAGAAGTGGTAGAGTTCATAGCAAGATCACGTTTGAAAGTGTTATGCTCGCCACACACATTGTATGTAAAGGGAGAGGACAAAGGAAGGAAAGTAAAGTGCCACTGGAGAGGGGACTATAACCATTGGTGGAGTGGAAAAAATCCTGCATAGGATTCAGGTCTGGGTTCTCATCCTAACTCTTCTATCAGCAGAGTGACTTTGGGCTACTAATAACCAAAATTTGTATAATGATTTTCCTCAGCTTACAGACAACTTTTAAATACTTTTTCTTATCTTATACAAGAAGTGAGTATTATTTTCCTTTGTTGACAAACAGGCTCAGGTTCAAAGAGACTGAGGACTGAACCAAGATCACATAATCAGTGGTATACCTGGGATTCAACCTCAGGTTTCTTTAGCTGCTCATTTTCTACCTTTGTGATGATTATACATCTCTGCCTACCTAGCCTCTCTGAGTCTCCTTTTCCATGTCTACAAAAGGAGATGACTGAGAGTGCTTTCCAGGCCTAAACTTTTACCGTTCTAAATTCAACAAGTTTCCTACTGGCTTCTCTATCCATTTTTAAGTGTAAGTCAAGCGTGTGCCAATTTGGGTAAAAACATGGAGTGCTTTATCTTATGCCCTTAATAACCATATCAAGGGAAATAATCCAGTGCCCTGATAAAAGGTTTTATATTAGAAGCTCTGAACATATACTTTTTTAGTTTTGAAAGATTAACCTTAGAGATTATGGAGTTTAACCCCCCTTATTTGCAGAGAAGAAAACTGGAGTACCTGGGCATCAAGTGATTTGCTCCAGTTTACATATCTTAGTGACAGAATTAGGATCAGTATTTGAGTCTCCTGCCTTCCAGGCCAGTTAGTGTTCTTTTCATCATATATGCTGAAGCAGTAGGGGTTCCAGATAACAAGTGGTGAGGGCCAGCATGCCTTGCATTGGATTGTTAGGACTTGGAATTGAGTATGCACAACCGTAAAATACAAAAGCCTGTACTGGCAAACAGCATAGTAGGGCAAGACCTACCACGTGACTTCTCTATACTTTGTAATAAGAAGAGGTTGTGAGCTTGATGTTACTTACTATTTTACTAAAAACATAACACAGAGTACAAGTGTTCTAAGTCCAAAATTCAACTGTAAAAGTTTTAGACAGAGGATATTTAAGTGACTGTTCAACTACTCAGTTTCAAAATAGTCTTTTAGTGATAATCTGTATGTTTTGATTTAAAAAAAATCAGCAACTACATAGGTTTATAGACTGTTGCGATTTTTAAATGTCAGAACCAGAATATTAACCCAAGGATTACAAATTCAGATGTGTAAAAGCATGCATTGTGAATTGGTGACCAGAAGCCCCTTGTGAAGAAACTTGCTGCTGTGTCCACTGGATGTTAGGCCTAGTGTTAGAAACTCTTCTGATTTTGTAAGAAAATCTAGAAATGCATATTTTATGTAAAACCTCCCAATTTTAAAATAATGTCAACTTGAATTTAAGACCATTTTAAGTATTATATGGACCAACAACCTCATGTCCCCGAGCTGTATTTAGCCCTTTGGGTAACCTCTACTTAACCAAAAAAAAGTCTTCAGTAATTTTAAACATTCCCACAAGGCCAAATGGTGTACCCCTTGTCCTGAGGCGTTTGGAATTTGAAATAAGGGAGGCTTGCCATAATCTGGCATTTCCCTTTCATACAACCTGCATATTATGGATCTTCAGGTGAGGTATTGGGCAGCCCCCTGATTCAAAGTTTGAGAACTCATGCCTTTGTTGCTCTAAATATGTTGCTCTAAATAAAAGATTTGGCAATTCTCATGCCATTTCCTTGTTGCAGAATGCTTCAGAGAGGCTCTGTAGATAGCGAAAAAGATGGAGGGCCCCAGTTTGCAGAAGTGTTTGTCATTGTCTGGTTTGGCGCGGTTACCATCACCCTCAACTCAAAACTTCTTGGAGGAAACATGTGAGTATTATTAAAATGCGTTACTTTTTTCCTTGCCAGGTTGCATATCTTAGATTTTTAAGGAAGTCTGGCTAGTTATGTATTTTTCAAAAAGGAAAGTCAAGATAAATGTGGGCCAAAGAGAAAGTTCTCTTAAAAACCACTGAACAGAGATAACCTGGTTGAATTAAATTATCTTAAATTCTCTGGGGTCCTTCGATATGTTTCAGATGCTCTCTCTCCAGCCCCCAAAATCATAGGCAGAATTTTTTGTTATAAGATTATGTCTATCTTTGGGAACAGATGGTCCATAGCTTTCAGCAAATTCTCAGAGAGGTCTATAAACCAGAAAAGATTACAAAACACCATCTTAGAGGTTCAGTGGGAGAAGGTCTCTAGGAATTAGAGTAGATCATCTGGTCTCCTAGATGGCTAACTCTTAAGGAGTTTAAGAGGAGAGAAGGAGAGTATGAGGAGAGAAAAACTAAAGCATATGTTTAATACAGAGGCCTGTCCTCATAAAATCAGCACCAGGGTGTAGGTATTGTGTATCTGGAGGAAAGTAACAACCCATGATACATAGAAATCTGTGTATTAAACTGTATAATATTAAAGATCAGCTATATTTACGATCTTAATGGATGTATGTTGGTTTTCAGATCTTTTTTTCAGAGCCTCTGTGTGCTGGGTTACTGTATACTTCCCCTGACGGTGGCAATGCTGGTTTGCCGGCTGGTACTTTTGGCTGAACTAGGACCAATCAACTTCATGGTCCGGTTTTTTGTGGTGATCGTGATGTTTGCCTGGTCTATAGTAGGTGAGAACGTACTTATCTCTGCATAGCAGAGCAGACAAAAACATGAGTTAGAGATGAAGACCAGATGGGGAGCAGGGTAACTCCTAGGTCACTTGCAAGTGTTATGATTCTTGCCAGTTTCATCCATAGAACTCTGCTCTAAGTAGGCATTGATAGTGATAATGTCCATTTTTTCTGAGTTAGGTATCTGGACTTCAGAGATGTGGACAGTCACATCTTTTTTTTTTTTTAACTCCTTCAATAATGTTTAGGGTTGGGAAAGGAGATTACACTAGACCTAGCTTAGTCCTCCAGGTCTATGGGAGGCATAGGTGACTTAGCCTTTTCCTGACAAATTAGTCATAATGAAAATAATAGCTAGTATTTACCGATGGCTTATTACCAGCCAAGCACTGTTGTAAGTACTTTATATGTATTATCTCGTTTAACTATCACAACAACCCTAATAAATAAGAACTGTTTTTATTGGTCCCATTTTTATAGATGAGGAACAGGCACAGAGAGGTTAAGCAACCTGCTAGTAGGACACATAACTAGTGAGTAGGGAATCAAATTTCAGACCCAAGCAGATCACACACCTGCTTAAAGCTAGACTATACTACCTCCCAGTATAGGTTGTTAAGAATCATGTAGTACTTTTCTGCTTCAGTAGAAAATTGTGCTGAAGATTAGCGGGAGCCTACAGCAGTGACAGTGAATGCTATTTGCTCATTGTACATTCCTAAAATTCTCTTAAAATTCTACCTTAGACTGAAACTGTTCACTAGTTTCCTATTTAATGGGAGAGACAGATTGCCTAATATTTTTAAGTACAGTAACATCTCTTTACTCTGGACCATGGTTAAAAGCCAAGAAGTAATGCAAAACTGAAGTCTGAGAGTGCCAGAATTGATATTCCAAAGACTATATTAAATTTGGACCCTTTACCCAAAGAAGAGCCCCTCATTCCCTCACACAGAGTCTGATAATGTATCATACATGAGGTTCTAAATAGCTTAGTTATCCAGTGTCCTGGCCCACAACAGTTCAGCATCTTAGAATCTTAGAAGAGACAGAGAGGTTCCTATAAGCATTCATTCATTCTTTAATTCAGCAAATATGTATTAAGCACAAATCACATGTCAGGCATTGTGCTAGGCATGGTCTCTACCCTCAGAGTTCACAGTCTAGGCATGTAAACACTTAAGGGCAAGAAAGTTCCAGGCTGGTGATGGGAGTCTGTGCAGGGTAGAGTCAGGACATGGAAGAGGTAAGTGGGCATTTCTACCTGGGGTGGCAAGATACCAGATGGTTGTTCAGGAAAGATTGATTATTGCTGAGTGAAAAGATGAGTAGGTGTTTCCAGGATGGACAAGAGAGATGGCATCTAAAAGAGCTGATAATGTAATAACAGTCACTCAAAAACACAGCAGTATGAGGCTGTTTGCCATAGGGGCTTTGTAAGCCTATCCAGCACAGTTCAGTAACTTCTCAGAACAGGGTTAAAAAGCCTCTTTTAGAAAGGTTTCCATCTAAAAGGGTTGAAAATTTTCACAGCTTTCATACTTGAAACAAGTAGTCCTCAGCAGTCTGGAAAACAATGCTGCCTAATGCCTTTTTCTCTGAGGATCACAAGTATGACTGAACACTTAGCATGTAATTCTACGTTCCAGACTATGCCAAGCACATTCAAGTTTAGTAAATGTTAGTAGTTGTGACAGTCTCACTGTCACTTACTGTATTAAATATTCCTTTTTGTTTTGTTTTGTTTAGCCTCCACAGCTTTTCTTGCTGATAGCCAGCCTCCAAACCGCAAAGCCCTTGCTGTTTATCCTGTTTTCTTGTTTTATTTTGTCATCAGTTGGATGATTCTCACCTTCACTCCTCAGTAAATCGGGAAATGGAAATTAAAAAACCGTTGAATTCAAAGCTCATTGGAAAGATGCAATTCACCATGGAGCTTTGCCTCTGGCCCTCTTTTGTCTAATTTTGGAGGTATTTGGTAACTGCGTACATGAGGAGATTAAAAGGGAGCCATAAAGCACTGTAACTATTTATGTAAGGAACTGATGTTTGAAAGGCTGTCCTTTCCCTCTTAATGTTATTTCTTTAAAATACATGTGCATAGTACACACAGTATAATGCCTCCTCCAGGCATGATAGGGTCACTGTGGTCCATTTGGGTGACAACCAATGACTCGGGAAGCACATGGAGACATCCTACGAGTTGAATAGAGTTGGTAACTATATTTTCAGTTTTGAGAATACCAGTTCAGGTGCAGCTCTTAAACACATTGCCTTATGACTATTAGAATATGCCTCTCTTTTCATAAATAAGAAGGGATAATATATTTTATTTCTCTTAAGCTTAAAAAGACAATAACAGATATTTGGAAGGGAATTCATTGGTATGGGAGGAGCAAACATGCACTAACCAATATTCAGATATTGATTAGAGGAAATTCTGCACTTGCTGCTTTTTTGAAAAAGCAAAGAACATCTAAAGTATAAGTTTTTTAGTCTTTCTGTATAGTCACCTTTCTGCCACACTTAACAACGCCTCAGTGACACTCTAATTTTTAATCTTACTCCCCAGTTCTGTATATGCAAGCTCAGACATTAGCAGTCAACATGTAACTTTCCTTTGAAGCTCTCAGTGGACCAATGCTTGAACTTATACAAGCAGAAGACCTCAGAAATTTAGATTGGTAGGTGCCTAATGCATGTTATCATGTGGACACCTTTTCTTAAGGGTAGAGTGAGACAGTTTGGATACAGCATAGCTGTAAGGACTTCTTCATTATTCTGTGTAGCCTTGCCTCTACCTGGAAAGTAAAGCTAAATCAGAAGCCTGTGTTTAACAATGTGAGTATGGAGGGATTTCATGTTCTGATGGCTGATTCACAGAACAATTAGACACTTAGAGCATGATGTTGGATGAGTTGAGTTTATAGCTGCCACCTCTTCATAGTGTGGACATAGCCGTTTTTTCATTAGATGTGTTTTTCGGGTTGGGAAATAGCAATTTATGTTCTTGGTTTTAAGCCTTATTTGTAAAGCTAATTAGCTCTCCTTTAGACAAGTACGTCTTTACACATGTGCACCTACTTGTATTCTCAGCTATTTATGCACACAAGTGTGAAGGCTTTTCAGGGAGCAGAGTGTCTGGGACAGGCTGATTCGTAGCTAATCAGGGCTCCTTTAAGGTAATATGAGCTGCTGCCTTCTATAAATTGCACAGTGAAGAACTCTTAACAGACAAAGATTAGGAGTCAGGCAGAAAACATTCATTGTAAATATACAATTACAAAGATAGGAATTTCTTATTCCACATTTTTCTTTATCGTGGAATCTAAATATTTATTCATTCGTACTTAAAGACTGCCTACACATAGATATGTAATTTTAAAAACATATTTTCTCCATCCCCAGATTAACCAAGTGAACTTACTAGGACAAATGAGTTGTTGGAATGATATTCAATTACAAAGCATTACAAAATTGGTCCCCTCTGTCCCAGCCTTGTCCAGATATTTTGGCTATGTATTTGTATTTATTTTAGTTTCCCCTTTAAATTTCAAAATAAACCCTGTTAGGGCAAAGCCAATGTTTCAGTCTTGAATTGGTAAAGAAAATGTTTTGAAACTAGTTCTAATTTTGAAATTTATCCTAAATTATCATCCATTTCTATTGTCTGAAATTTTCTAACTTCCCACTAGAAACATCTCTCTTTCAAAATTGTTTCATAATCTATCCCAGTAATTATAATGTTAAATTAAAGAAATAATTATGCTTCTTAAAAGGGAGTTAAATCTTTACTGAATTTTACTCAGGCTACATATTTGGTCAGAAATTCCTAAGGCCACAACTTTGGCAGGGTTTGTGGGGGGGTGGGGAGGCAGTTATATTGGGTGTTAAGGAAACTTGTTCTGTTTTAATTTGTTGCTTTTGGGTGACTTAGGGAATGGTTTTACTTGATTTACATGAAAGTGGGTAAAATGGGGATTCATTTATCTTTCTGAAAATGAGTGGTCAATTTGAGGGTATAAATAAATATTTTCTTAATATATGCAAAAATGTGCATTGCTTTCTGTGACAGAAGACCTGAGTATCTGGAAATTGTAACCCTCAACACAGCTTTCCCTGATTTGCTGCAAAGGCACATGGCTAATTGTATAGAAAGGAGGACTAGAAGGGAAGGGGACTCCGACAAAGGAAACCCCGTTCCAGAAATTGGAAGGTTTCACACTTTAGATGAAGTTCCAGTGTGTGAACATCATTGCCTAATGTGGTGCATTCCTGCCGTCGTGGCTTATCACTTGCTGCTCCTACTTCTGAGATTTAGACTCTGTTGTCATATTCTTTAGCAATAGGAAAGGTGAAGACTGGATTTAATCACTGTTCAGGTTACAAAAAATCGATGTGAACATCTTTGAATGTGCAGTGTAGTCTTAAAAGTCAATCACTGATTGTCAGGTCTTTTGCCTCTTAAGTGGATTATTACATGAGTTGAATTGTATCTTTTCATTGTGGCAGGGTTTTTATGGTGGGCAGGTGAGGTGGTCACAGGGCATGGGGCTAATAAGCATTTACTATTTACTACATTTGTCTTTTTATAAAGTGTCCCCCAAAATATGATTAGAAGGCTAGCAAGCCTATATTTGAAGGTTTGTGTACTTTATATCTTCTAAATACTTACTGTATTGGGGCTTCCAGTTTATTCTTGGGGATGAAAATGAAAGTCTTTCATTTCAGATTCTTGGGTAACATCAAGTTATTGGAATTTATCTAGAGCCTATCATGATATGATCAGACGTCCATTGCATGCAGTTGTTTTATTCCAGAGTAAAATACTGAAATTGTGATTCTTAAGGAAGCTGTTCATTTCAGAGACAATTTGGATAGAAATAAATGTGTGAATGTTAATCCATATATGTTTTAGAAATTAGAAATACTTTTCTAGGTTCTGTGGGCTTTTATCAAAATAAAGAATTTCTAGGGATTTACTTAGGCCATAGGATGTCTAAATAATAATAATGTGAAAATAATATTACTACTAATAATAGCTAACATTTATTGGGCACTTACTGTGTGCCAGGCACTATTCTATTTTTTTAAGAATTTTTTTATAACAGCTCTATTGGGATACACTTTACCATAAAATTCACCCTTTTATTAAAGTGATGTACAATTCAGTAATTTTTCAGTATATTCTTATAATTGTGCATTTTAGAACATTTCTATCACTCCACAAAGAAACCCCACATCCATTAGCAGTCACTAGCTTTTCCGCAGGCCCTGGCAACCATCAATCTGCTTTCTGTCTCTATTGATTTAGCCAGGCACTATTCTTAAGTGTTTTTCATGCATCTCCTCCAGTCTTCAACATAAAGCACTAATAATTCTCATTTTACTGATAGAAAATAGAGGCACAGAGAGGTTAAGTAAATTGTCCAAGGTCACATAGTAAATTGATTTAAAATAGGAAAACACAGGTGAGATCATAGTAGAACACAGATTTGAATTGCATTGTTATGCACGTGAAATGGATACACCCCCCCCAGGGTATGTTCCCTGGTATTAGCCATTGCAACGTACAACTCACCAAAGGTCGATAATACGATAACTCTCGTTCTTTTGTTCTGAGTACTAGAACACTATATAAGCATCATCTGAGAAAAACACAAGAGCAGTTGTACATTGGGAAGAGTTCGATTAGCTGCCCTCACTCCTCCTTGAGCCCCTTTTCTTCCCCTCCCCGCTGCCCACCAGACGCCTACACCCCTCCCCTCTCTCTAAAAGTCTTAATCAACTTCTGCCTCTTTTGTTTTGATCTCCCAGAGGGATGGTTAATGCATCAAAATTTAACTTATCTATTCAGGTGTTTGTAGTCAAGGGATGCATCTGGTCGCTTATAGTACCAGCTATATTCGTAAGACCTCAGAGAGCAGTAGGGTGAGAATAGAATGTCTTCTTATTTGGGTTAAACTAGGTGGGGGAATAAATAACACAGCAAAGGCTTTGCCTTAATGAAGTCAGTGTTCCAGCCTGGTGGGAAGTGGCCACATGCTGCTCTTGTTCACTCTTTTCCCTTTCAGCGTCTTTGTATTCTGCACCATCACTGCTGGTAATTTCTTGTCCCTCTTCAATACTCTTGTTTTAATCCTGATCTTTCCTATAAATAACCTGTGAAAAGAATAAATCTGTAAAATGAATTGTGAATGTTAAATGTGCAAATAAAAAACACTGGAAAAGGAGAATTGGTGTGTGTCTTTTCTTGTGCTGAAAGGCATGGGGATATTTGCTACATACTGTTGTCAGATACAATATATTGTCATCAGGTAATGTTGAATATGGTGTAGGATTGCACAGACAGCAAGTTAGAAAGGGAAGTCACACTTACTGAGCGAATGCTATATGCCAGGCACTAAAATAGCCTCATTATAGAGTATCTCTAGTCACAGCAGCCTTTTGAGGTTGGTGGTGGTATCTTTATCTCAGAGTTGAGGAACCTGGACACAGCTGGATTCAGGGCTCAAACCTGAGAGGCTCAAACCTGTCTGAAGGCAGCCAGCTCTAATCTTGGATGGATGAACCAATAAATTAGTTTGAGAAATTCTGATAACTCTGAAACCTCCAGTCCAGAAGTTGGATGTATGATTTCTAGCACGACATAGAAATAATTGCCTGCTAGACAGTCACTAGAAAGTCCAGTGTGCTCTGCAACTTGTCATGTCTTAACTGAATGTAATAGAAAACAACAAATCTAATTCCATATTAGATCTGTTCCTTTGTCTTTAACTTTGTGCCCTGTTTTCTAGGCTTAGTCTTCCTAGCTCTGCACTCATGTAAAGATAACAAGTTGCAGAATAGAGAATAACATTTGTTTTGTTGGAGGTTTTGCAGGAACACCATGAATTGGCCCACGTGTACAGCTGCAAGAACAAAGAATTCCTACACCAAGAAGTTTGCAACAATCAACCACACCCCCTCCCCTGTTTTTTGCATAAAAGGAGCCTATATTCTGACTAGGGGAATGATAGTTCTCCAAGACATTAGTCTGACATCCTCTCGGTCTGCTGGCTTTCTGAATAAAGTTGCTATTCCTTGCCCCAACACCTATCTCCCGATTTATTGGCCTGTTGTGTGGCGAGCAGAACGGGTTTGGACTCGGTAACATGAACTCAACAGGTCCCCCAAAGCTTGCCCCTCATCCTAAATCCCTTATTTTAGAGGACAGCATCAACATTATACCCAGTTACCCAAGTTGGAAATCTAAGAATTTTCCCCAAATTGCCCCCTTACTTCCCTATATTTATTCTGTCACCAACCCTGCTAATTTTACTCATTAAACTCAGCTCTATGCCTTCCTCTCTATTCCCACTTCCACAGTTCGGTTCAGGCTCCCATCTTCTCTTGTTGTTTGGACTATAGCAACAAACACCTAAGTAATCTGCCTCCATGTTGCCCTCCTCAAATCTATTTGTCATACCGTTGCCATAGTTACCTACTTTTAAGTATAGATTTGACCACATCTCTCTTCAGTTTAAATCTCTTTGCTGCCTCCCCATCTTCTCTAGGACAAAGCTGAGACTCTATATAACATGGATTACGAGGGCCTTCTGTCATCTGACCCTAGCTTTCCTCTCCAGCCTCATTTTACACGACTCCTGGTCTTAAATTCTGTGCTGCAGCAACAATTAACTACTTGTTCCCAAGCACACACTGTGGTACTTCTCACCTCTGCGCTCATGCTGTCTCCTCTGGAAGGCCCTCCATACCCACCATTTCCTTTAAAAATCAGGCAGGCCTCACCTCATCCAGAAAGTCAATTTCCCCTCCCCCACTTCCTACCCTCTACCCCATTCTACCTGGTTTAGGTATTCTCTTTTCTGTGCTATTTTAATGCTATTCATTCCTTCAATATATATTTATTGAGTGCCTGATAAAATGAACAAGACAGAATCTCTGTCTTCATGGAGTTGATAATCTTCCTTCTCTTGTGGTTAGGTTCACATGTGTCACTGCACTTTCTACTGAATTAAGTTGAATTATACTCACCTATTTATTTTTCCTGCTAGATCATGAGCTATAAAAGGACAAAAATCATGACTAATTTACTTTTTTATCCTCAGAACCTAGCCTGGAATATTTCTTGAATGATTTAGATGCAGGAGGGTCATTCCAGAAGACCAGGTAGGAGGGAAACAGGAGTAAGGCTAGGTCTGATCCCAGGGGGACATGGGGAAAGGAGAGAAATTTAACTGCAGTGTGGAAAGCATACGAATAGAGGCTACAGGATCCCAGAGATCTGGTATTTTTATGCAGTGTGTTGAAGTTGATGGCCCATTGAGGCTAGGGAAGGGGGAGTCTGCTACTCTGCTATAAAGGGGAGATAATATGCTAGACATTTAGTATATGCTTTCATTGAGTCCTCCTTCATATTAGCCCTGCAAGCTGTGTGTCATTAGCACCATTTTACAAATGAGAAAGCGGAGACTCAGAGGTGAAATTATTTACCCAAGGCCTCACAGTAAGTGGCAGAGCTGGGACTTGAGCCCAGGTCTCTCTGATTCTAGAGAACATAATCAGTTAGAATTAGGTTCAACTGCCTATAACAGAAAATCCAAAACAAGAATGGTTTAAATAAGATAGAGACTCATGTCTCTCTTACACAGACAAAAAAGTCTAAAGGTGAGAGGTCCAGGGTTGGTATGGTGGTTTCCCTGACATCACCTGGAACCTAAGCTCTAATCTCTTGGTACAACCATCTTCAGAATTAGTTTCCTTCCTCATAGTCCAAGATGGCTGCTGAGCCCAATCCATTATATCTGCATACCAAGCAGCAGTTAGAAGTAGGGGAAGACAAAAGAAGCAGTTTTTCCCAGACAGTTCAGCTCCCTTTAAGCTCCCTTCTTAGAAGTTAAACACAGCACTTCTGCTTACATCACCTTGCTAGGAAACTTAGTCAAATGGGCATATCTAGCTATGGGGGAGGCTGAGAAATGTACTCTTTCAGCCAAGTGGATTGCTATTAAAGAAGTATAAAATTGGAGTATTGCTATTAAAGAAGAAGAGGGACTGGATATTGAGTGCAGCAAGCAAGCTCTGTCACAAATATTTATTTTAATAAATTTTAAGGATAATTTACATACAATAAAGTACTCATTTTAAATGTACAGGCTGATGAGCTTTGACAAATGTAATCACTTGTGTAATCACCACCACAAGCAAGATTTTTAATATTTTCATCATTTCTGAAAGGTCTATTGTGTCCCTTTATAATCAATGGCCTCCAGATGATAGTGATTTGCTTTCTGTCAACATAGATTAGTTTTTCCTGTTCTAAGGGGGAGGGGAGGGCTCAGTGGTAGACTGTGTGCTTAGCATGCACGAGGTCCTGGGTTCAGTCCCCAGCACCCCCATTAAAAAGAAAAAAACTCAAAAAAATTTTCCTGTTTTAGGATTTCATGCGATATTTTGTATCTGATTTCTTTCACTCTGCATGTTTTTTAGGTTGATCCTTATTGTCACATGTATCTCCTGTCTGTTCCTTCTTATTGCTCAGTAGTACTGTATGATATTAATATTCCAGTTTTTTAAAAACCATTTTCCTGTTAATGAGTGTTTCATCTGTATTCTAAAACTCTACACCAGAGCCACACTTCCCACAGGCTGCTTCCTGCGGTGACAGTGTGATAGGAATACTAAGGCAGGTTCATTCCTGGAAGACAGGGGACTTCTCTGATGGGTGGTTTTGGTTTAAGGACTCTTGGCCAGGTTTGCTGAACTTTTCTGATAACTGCACTGTAGTTAAAGATGCTTTAACCCAACCTTCCTTCTTTCCTCTTTTCCACAGTCAGGATCAGACCTGCATGATGGTCTGATAGATGTCCTAATCTCAACTCTTTCCTCATTTTCTCTCACGGGATTTTCCCTGATACATTTCTTGCACATTTAATCCAGTTTTTGACATCTTCTTCTCGGAGGACTCAGACTAACACAGGTGATTTCCAGCATTTGGCATTTTGAATAAAGCAGCTATGAACATTTTTGTTTAAATACTTTTATGGGATGTGCTTTCATTTCTCTTCGGTAAATAGCTTGGAAGGGAACTATTGAGTTACATGGTAAGTGTATGTTTATTTTTATTAAAACATTGCCAAGTAGTTTTCCCAAGTGGTTGTACCACTTTCCACTCACACCAGCAGTGTTTGAGAGATCCGTTGTTTCACATCCTTCCCAACACTTGATACTTCTAATTTTATAAACTTGGTGTTAATAATTTTAGCCATTCTAGTGCATGTGTAGTGGTATCCCATTGATTACCATTTTCTTAACCCTTACATAACCACAGTTTGATCCCAGGCATGTCTGAATAAAAAGCCTGTGCTCTTTCCACTATCTGAGACCCCTGGCACTAGAATGGGAGATGTGAGGAAAAATATTAAGGCATTAGGCAGAAAAAGGAATAGAATTAATGCTGGGAAGAAAAGGCTTGTATATGAATAAATGCTAAATAAATGGAGATGTAAATGAACAAGCGTATAACTAAGCTAAGACACTCAAAGTAAAAAGAAACAGGAATATTACTCGGCCATGAAAAAGGAATGAAGTACTGTTACATACTCCAACATGGATGAACCTTAAAATATTAGACTAAATGAAAGAAGCCAGATACAAAAGGTAATATATTGTGATTCCATTTATAAGAAATGTCCAAACTATGTAAATCCTCAGCTCTCTAATAAGTGACCTAGTAATTTTCTATAAGAAATGGATCCCTGATAGGAGCAGAGCGTGGAGACCTGCCAAGCTCTGCCATGTCTTTTTTTTTTTTTTGAAACTTCCATCCTAATCCATGCAGAAATGCTGGGGAAAATAAGCAAGATATGATATTCAGATGAGGTGAATAGCAAGAGAAAAAATATTCCATAGTGTTTGGAATTTGTTTATTTAGTATATTTGGGGGAGGTGGTTGGGGTGGGTAGAGATCAAAAAGAACTAATGTTTATTCAGTGGCAACTATGTGGCAGGCACTGGGCTAGATATTTTATATGTGTAATCTTCATTTTTTAAATTTAGTTTTATTTTATTTTGGGGGGAGATAGATTTACTTATTTAATTATTTAGTTTCTAGAAGAGGTACTGGGGATTGAACCCAGGACCTTATGCAGGCTAAGCACAAGTTCTGCCATTTGAGCTCCCCTCTATATGTATAATCTCTTTAATTTCACAACATCTATAAACTTTTGGT